GGGGGAAACAGGGAGCAGGAATCAATCAGTGTCGGGCACATTTGTGAGCTGTGTGCCGAGCTCCTGGAACACCGGCAGCGCGGGGGGCTCCCAGGGATCCGCCGGCTCATCCGGCAGCTGCCGTAGCAAAAACAGTTTGCAGCAATATTTAGAGAGGGGAAGGAAGGAAGGAGAGCTCCAGAGATTAAAAAAAAACCAAAAAAATCCTCTTTTCTTTACCTTAAAATACATTCTGAAACCTGGGGCAGTCCTTTGGGCTGTGGCTCAGATGTCTCAGGAAGCTTTTCCATGTGGGAGAGGTGTTTTCATCCCATGAGTCTTCAGCTCCCCAGGGTGCTGGGAGATCCGAGCTCCACTTTCCAGCTGGGAGGACTCAGCAGTTTTAATTCATAGAATCCTAGAATTGTTTGGGTTGGAAGGGACCTTAAAGCTCATCTCATTCCAAATCCCTGCCTTGGGCAGGGACACTTTCCACTAGAACAGGTTGCTCCAAGCCCAATCCAGCCTAGTCTTCCTTCTCTCCGTGCAGTGAACCACTTTCCCACATTTCTTCTCTGTCCAAAGTGCCCAGGGCCAAGAAACCCTCCTCTTTCTATAAAAACCTAGTTTTCCATATTATGGACACACATGTGGTCCACACTCCATCTTCCCAGTTCTCCATGAGTACAACCTCTCTCCCAGAACCCCTCTGATACCCTGAGCAGGAAATCTGTGCTGGGTGGCAGCTGGAGCATGTGGGATGGAGCCTGTGTGTGGAAATCACCGGCAGCAGGGGTGGATATCCCTGAGGATGCACCTCAGCGAGTCCTGATGTGCCTCCTGGTCCATCCCTGGACCCCCCAGGAAGGGTGTCCCTGCAGTGGGCTGGAGGGAGAAGGTGGTGAGTCATGAGGAGAAGCTGAGTCAAGGAATCGAGACCAAAGTTAATGAGAACTGTTCCCAAAAATGGACATGTCGAGAGCTGGGTGGGAATCTGCCCTGCTGCCACAGCTTCCCTGCTGTCAGCACCCGGCGGGATGCTCCCAGGAAAGGGAACAGCCGCGGGGAAGGCACTGAGCCCAGCCAGGAGCCAGAGATGGAACCAGCGGGAGAGATCCCTTGACACGGCCACAGGGAAGCAGAGCCACCCCACAGGAGGGGCACGGCCACCCAGTGATTCCCCCTTTGTCCTTGACACAATGCAGGGGTTTTTCCTGCTGTTGGAAAGCTGGGCACCAATTGTGGATCCTCAGATGGCTCGTAAGGGCTGAGCTCAAATCGAAGGCTGTGCCCAGCTTCTGGGTCAAGGGGGCACTTAATGGGGGTCTCTCCTTCTTTCTGTCTGGTTTTATAGATTCTCAGAGATGCTGCTGTCAGATTTGGCTGAATTTATCCAACAGATTCCAGTTATTAAGGATGGAGGGTTTTTTTTCTACAACTCCCTGACAGGAGGCTGTAGCCAGGTGGGAGTCAGGATCTTCTCCCCTGTAACAAGTGATGCACAAGAGGAAACAGCCTCAAGTTGTGCCAGAGGAGATTTAGAGTGGATATTAGGGAAAATTTCTTCTTGGAAAAGGTTGTCCACCCCTGGCACAGGCTGCCCAGGGCAGTGGAGGAGTTTCTGTCCCTGGAGGGATTTAAAAGCTGCGTGGATGTGGCACCTGGGGACATGGGTCAGTGGTGGCCTTGGCAGTGCTGGGGGAATGGTTGGACTTCATGATCCTAGAGAGCTTTTCCAACCTAAACAAATCCCTGATTCTATGAGGAGGAACCCCATAGACATCTCTCTTTCTTAGGCCATGAAGCCAAAACACTTGTGTGTGCTGATCCAGGGAACTCAGGCGTGCACAACCCCGTCTCTGTGAGAGCCTTTTCTTGCCAGGACCAGGAGGATGTTCAAGCCACTGGTTTGTGGCCCTTCCTGCCAAATAGCCTGACCTTGAGCAGGACTGGTTTCCAGTATCCAAGAGGAGAAACGCTCCAAGGGCATTATTACTGTGACCCACTAACCCGGCTGGCAACGGGACGCTGCCGAGAGAGCCCTGCTCCCTTTCCACCCCTGCTCCTCCCCAAACATCCCGAAACACCGAACGGCCCCGGCGCACCCTGGGAGCCTTTGCTTTCTGCTGCACTCCCCAGCTCCGCTCCCGTCACTGGGAATCACGCTTCCTTTCCCGACCGCCCCAGGAGAGATCCTCGTTTCCTGCTGCTTCCCTCATCCCTGCCGGCCGCAGCTCAGCGATCCCAGGGCTGCCAGCCTTGGGGAAGAGGCTGCCGGGATTTCCTGCCTGAAACAACCTCTTCACCAGGGATTCCTTTGCCCTTCCTCCTCCTCGCTGGGAGTCCAGGGCGAGGAAGAGCCTTCAGCAGGGCAGGGAGGTGCCGGCCCCCCTCGGCAGTCACATCTGGCAGGAGCATGAGGAGTGGTTTGTCCTGGTTTTCCCATTTTAGCAGAGAGAGTTGGGAGTGTCCGGGGTGGGGTGTGTGTGTGCGCTTCTAGGTCAGGCCAGATCCATCCCCAGCCCCATCCCACAGAACATCCTCCATCTCCTCCAAATTCAGCACATCTGTTTCTGCCCAAAATGCTGCCCAGTAAATGCCTGTTGATTGTTTTTTTACGCCCAAGCTATGGGAAGGGATGAACCCTGCAGCCAAAGGCTCTGCCAGGGCACATGGAAGTGATTACAGGGATCAGTCTCTGCAAGCACCTCCTTTCCCAGCACACAGTGTGGGTGAGCACAGCCTCTCCCTGTCCCCATCCATATCCCTATCCCCATCCTCACCCTTGTCTCCATCCCTATCTTCATCCTCATCCCCATCCTTGTAACCAGCCACATCCTCATTCCCATCTCCATTTCTAGAACTATTCCAATGCCCATCCATATCTCCTAGCCCATCCTTGCCCCTTTCCCCATCTTCATCCCTGTCCCTATATCCACCCTCACTGTTGTCCCCATCTTCATGTTCATCCCCATCCCAATGCCCATCCCCATTCCCATCATCATCCCTGACAGCATCCACGTCATGATCCCCATCCTTATCCTCATCCCCATTCTTGTCCCCTTCCTCTTCCTCATCCCTGTAAACCGTCTCTGATTCCATCCCCATCCCCACCGAGGCTTCCAGCTGCTCCCACAGCCACAGGGATGCCCATGCCAGCAGGACTTTGCTCCAAAGGCCAAGGCATAAGTCCAGCTCTTGCCAGCTGCCTCTTTTCTAACTGACTGGTGCCAGTTTGGCTCAGGAAGTTGGGAAAAGGCACTTTTTAGCATCCTAAAGACTGCAGAAAGCCTGGCAGCTCTTCCTTCCCATTTGCAGAGGATCTTCAGGGCCCGTGGTTTGTATTTTCAACAGCCCCCAAACATCCCTCGGAGCAACAAGGTTGTCCTCCCTTTCCCTCCCCTCTTTCCTGCTCCCTCTGCCCATTGCCACCTCCAAGGTGCCACCAAATGCCACCATTCTCCATGGGAGGGACATCCCATCTGGGGTTTCACCAGGCAGAGGGGCTGCCGGCCCCTCACGGCTCCCAGTTTCCCTGGAGAGCCCCGGGAGGTGTTTGAGCTTCAAAGAAAAGCCACTTTTTGGCACGGGGAACTCCTGGAAGGCTGCGGATTGTGTCCAGCTGGCCTGGACCCCACTCGAAGCCCTAATGGTTTTCCATGGCCAGGCAGAGCGACTCCTTCCAAGGGCTGGAGCCAGCCAGCTGCCTGCAGCCAAGAGGGCAGCAGCCTCTCCGGATGTGACCCCCACGGTCACGTTCCCTGGGACAGCCGGGGTTCCAAACAGCTTGGTCCCGGCATGGCTGGGAGCTGCTTTCCAGGATGACCAGGATGCAGTGGATTGCACCCTGCCCAGGATGGAGGAGACAGGAGCCACAGTGATAAATCCCTGTTGCTGCAATAGACGGGGTGGAGGGTGTCCAGCTGCTCCCCATGTGAGGATTCCTGTCGGGAATGCCATGAATGTGTCCCTGATTTATTTCTCTCGACAGCCCACAGGGGTTTGACACTTCTCTCCTTGTTATCTGGCATTCCTCGGGCATGTATATGTCTCGGGACAGATGCAATACTCCAGGCCAGGGAAGTGGGAAACGCTCCAGGAAGCTGGAGCAGAGCTTTTGGCTGCTCCCAGCCCGGATTTCCAGGAGCATTCATTGAGTCCAGCTGCCTGGGATTTGAGCTCGTCCTTTCCTCCACCGCTGTGGGTGCTCCCACCCCAACATCCCAAACCAAAGGCAGGGAACCCCTCCTGGACCCGTTGGTCACTCCGGACCTCTCCGGGCGGGGATGATGGATGATGGGATTGAGAAAGGATAAACAGCGGTGACCCCGCGCCCGGCCGTGTGTGCGTGGGGGGCCTCTCGCTGACAGCTTGCCAGTGGAGCTGTACGACACATTTTGGCCGGTGGCTGTCCCTGTCCTCCCCCGCGTGTCCCCTGTGGATGAGGAGTCACGTTTCTTCCCGGCTCCAGGGAGCGGGATGCGAGGGAGAGAGCGGGGAGCGGCCAGTGCCTCCCGCCCACGCCGCGGCCCTGGGCCCGACCCGGCTGGATACGGGCCCGGCCCCGGGGGCGTTGCAGCGAGGCGGGGGGTGCGGGGCTTCGTGGGGCGCCGGGGCACGAAGAAGGGATCCCACTTTCCTTCCCCTGGAGGAGACCCCCCAAGGGATGTCCTCCCGGGATGCCCCCTCGGGGTAGCGCCGCTGTGGTACCCGGTTCCCCCCGGGTTGCCGGTACCGGCACGGGAGATGCGGGGGTTGCGGGAGGGGGGGGACTGCGACCCGGGACGGATTTTGGGATGAGACCCGATTGGTCGGGGCCGGGGCCAGGGGGTCCAATGGCGGCTCGGCCGCGGCTTGGCCACACCCCTGCCGGGCCACGCCCCGCCGGCTCCGGTTCCCTCCGCCGGGCCGGGGCTGCCCCGTCGGGTCCGTCCCGCTCCGCTCCGCTCCGTCCCTGTGCTCCGGTTCGCCCCGTCGGGTGCGCTCGGCGCCGTCGGGGGGTCCCGCGGGCCGGCGGTGGGATGCGGGCGGTGGCGGCGGTGCTGGCGGCCGTGCTGGCGGTGGGGGCAGCCCTGCCCCGCCCGGGGCTGCTCCCGCACGGCCCGGCCCGTGGCGATGCCCGGCTCCGGCCCGGGGATGACGAGAGCTCGCCCGCGGTGCCGCTCCGCCGCGCCCTGCGCCTCTACGGCCGCACCGCCCGCCGCCTCTACGTGAGTCCCGCCTGGCCCCGGCCCCGCTCCCCGCTCCCCTCCCCTGCCCTCCTTCCCCCCGACCGCTCTTCCTCCCAGCCCCCCTTCCTCCTCTCCATCATCTCCCCCTGTCCCTCCGTCTTCCCCCCTCACCGTCTCTCCACACTCTATCCCTTTCTCCCTCCATCCCTCCGTGTCTCTCCATCTTCCCACTCTCCATCCCTCTGTCCCACCGTCCCTCCCTCCTTCTGGCTTTTCACCCCTCCGTCCTTCCATCCTGCTTCCCACTCAACCCTTTCCTCCCCAGCCTTTACACCCCTTCCTCCTCCCCCCCAACCCTGCCCCTCCGTGTGCCTCTTTGCCGTCCCACCTCACGTGTCTCTTCTCCATCCACCCCTTTCCAACATCCATTTGCCCCCTTCCCGGTGTCTCCGGCTGCGGAGGAACAAGAGGGCTTTCTCCTTCGCAGCTGTTCCTGCCAGCAGCGGCCGCAGCTGGGATGGCCCCTGAGCTGCAGCTCCCTGGGGGATGGAGAAGCCCGAGGTCTTTGTTTTCTCCCCGTGGCCGGATGGGGCCACGCGGCCTCAGGGCTCTCACTCCACCGAGGAGGGGGGGACACGGCGGGGGGACCGGGGGTGGTGGCACCTCTGCAGCTCCTGAGCACCCTGCCCCGCTCTCCCTGCAGGTGGGGACCAACGGGGTCATCTCCACCCAGGATTTCCCCAGGGAGACCCAGTACGTGGATGACGATTTCCCCACAGACTTCCCTGTCATCGCTCCCTTCCTGGCCGACCTCGACACCTCCGGGGACAGAGGGAACATCTACTACCGGCAAGATGACTCTCTGGACCTGCTGGACCAGGCTGTGGGATACATCCAGGCTGGGTTCCCCCGCACTGCCGGCTCCTTCGTGCCCACCAATGCCTTCGTTGCTACCTGGGAGAATGTGGGTGCTTACCAGGAGCTCTCCCAGGACACCGAGCCCTCCACAAAGGTGAGGCCAACAGGCTGAGCTTGGATTCCCATCCTGCGTGTCATGGGAGGATGAGTCTTCCTCCTAAACGCTCAGTCTCTTCTTTCTGGATGGTGGGTCCCTCCATCCATCCTTGGGTGAGCACCAGGGGAGCTTTTTCTCTCTGCTCAGAGCTGTGGCACTGGAGGAGCTCTTGGCTTTGCTGGTGGGCAGGAGAGGTTTAGAGGTTGCCTTCAGCTCTGTGGTTGGAGGTGCTTGTACAAGGGCCTGGAGTGACAGGGTGAGGGGGAATGGCTTCAAATTGATTGGATTAGATGTTGGGAAGAAATTCTTGGCTGTGAGGGTGGTGAGGCCCTGGCACAGGTTGCCCAGAGAAGCTGTGGCTGCCCCTGGAAGTGTTCCAGGCCAGGTTGGATGGGACTTGGAGCAACGTGGTCTAGTGGAAGGTGTCCCTGCCCATGGCAGGGGGTGGAATGAGATGAACCCTTCCAACCCAAACCATTCCAGGATTCAGTGATTCTTTTCAGGCAAAGCTGTCCAGTGCTGGTGGCTCTGGATTTGCAGGGGCAGCTGGGAGAAGTCGTGGCTCAGCTCCATGGTGCTCCTGACCTTTGCCAGTGGCTCGGGGCTGGTCCTTCCTTCTGCCCCCGTGCTGATTATGCTGCTGGCGAGGAACTGGCTTCAGAGTTTCCACGATGGGTTGATTTTGTGCCTGGAAAACAAGCTCATAGGTGGTCTGCCAGGTCGGGGAGGTGACCTGTGCTCTCCGCCCACGGGGCTGATAAGGCTCCTGCGTGGGTGGACCTACAGCGCTGCCTTTCCCCGAAAACGCCGGGACATGAGGTGTCACACTGGGCTGATGATGTGCTGAGGAGGTGACAGTGACGCTCTGCCAGCAGGATGGACTCCTTGGAGCGAGCTGGATATGATGAGCTGCAAGAGGAAAACTGGTGATGGATACCCAGGGCTGTTTGATGGGTGACAGGCTCTAGCCGTGGTGGGGTGGGCTGATCCCAAAGCCCATCAGCAGCCACCAGGTCCCCATGGACCACCAGGAGCCATCCCTACCATCCATTCCCCCGCTCCGGGGCCCTTCGGGAGCGGGTTGCTGAGAGAGAAGCCAAGCAGGGGAAGAAACCGAGGTTTGGAAGGAAACAAGGCACATTTTTTCCTCTAATTTAAAACTTGGGAAAGCAGCTGAAGAGATGCCATCAGGGGCCTCGCAGTGACCTCCCGGCCATCGAAAACGCAGCCTTCTCTTCTTTTTTCTTCCTAATTGTTGGGGGTTTTTTTCCCTCTCTGAGAAGTTGGATCAGGTTTTAAAATGAAACTGGTCTTGTTTGGAAACGAGCAGCTCTGGGGAAAGCTTCATTGAAGACTTGCTGAAGTGCAGCTTGTGCCTGTGCTTTGCTGAGCTCCCCCTTAGCCAAAACTGCTGAAAACCTCCCCAGACACCACTTTTTTTCTGACCAAATGTGGCACTTATGGAAACGCTGCCCTCCTGCTGCTTGGGACCGGGATTGACTCCGAAGCCTTCCCCCCACCCCCAGCTTTGAAAAGTCGCGGCTCATCCTTTTTGAGCCTCAAAAGCAGAAACCTGGGTTAAGGTGGGGGTGTAGGGGGTCCCCAGACCCCTGCTTAGGGGGCCCTGCCTAGATGGGGGGTCTGGCAGCGCTGCGGCAGCGCCCCATCCCCTCCAGCTCCTTGGGACACATTCCTGGTCCCTGCAGTGACGCCTTCCCGGGCTGCAGAGCCGGACAAGAGCTGACCCCGCTTCTGCAGAAGCAAGACTTGCCCTTTTGGGCTGGAATTTGCCCTTTGCAGCTCTTTGCCGGGAGCAGCCGGGGGCTTCCCCCCGCCCCCCCTCCTCCCCTCCGTCCCACCGTGCCAGCACATCGATGTCACCCATCGCGTCCCCCCTCGCCACCCACCACACGGCGAAACGAGCCCTGCAGCTGCTGCTGTGATTTGGCTGCGTGGGGGAGGAATCCAGCCCCGGGTGTTGGTGGTGGGGGTTATCCCCGCCCCTTCCCAGCTTTTTGGCCGCCTTTTCGGGGTCTCTGAATGCCCGAGTGTGCGACGTGCACAACAAGGCTCTTTATATCCCGCGGGGCTGCCGGGAAACCTCGCAGTGCCCCGGGGACCCCAAAATCCGGGCTGGCGCTGTGGGGACGGCGCGGGGGCAGCCCCCACCCCTCCCTCCCGCTGCTCCGGGGAGGGGGTAACTGGGAGTTTAATCACTTTTCCTTCGCTCGGGCGCCTTTCCCTGTGTGCTGCTTCCAGCGGCTCTCTGGGAAGGGCTGCTGCCGCTGCCCGCTCATGGTTATTTACTGGGGCAGCAGGAGCCGTGTGGGGTTGGTTTCTCCGCGTTTGGGGTGACCACGGTGCGTGTGTGTGGATTCTCCGGCGGCTCCGGAGGGCTGGGCTGGCTCCGCAGGCTCCCCATCCGCGGGTTGTTGCCGTGATCCCGCTCCCTGGCACGGCCCCAAGGCTCGCAGGGCTGGCAGGGCAGGCGGCCAGCGTGCCTATAGCGGGATGTATGGGTGTGGGGAAGCCGGGAGCACAGGCGTGTTTTTTCCGGAGGAAACCAGGCTAAAATTGTTCTCCGGGAGAAGCGGGGGGTGCGGGTTTTCCTCCGGCGGCGCTGATGGGACGGGGGGGAGGCTGCTGCTGTCAGGGGGAGGGAAACAGCAGTGAGGGGCTCCCAGGCTTCAGCACCAGCCCAGTGCAGGGGTCACATGGCCAGGGATGCTCCTGGGCATGGTGCAGGGCTGTCACCTTCCTGTGTGACAGCTCCAAGGGACACCCCTGCACGGAGGGGGTGGCCTGGTTGTGCCATGGGGTCCTGTGAGGATGCTGAGCATCTTGCCAGGATGTTGCACTTGGGCTCTGGCTGTGCATGAGCAGGAGGTCTCTGCAGGGTGATTATAGAATGGTTTGGGTTGGAAGAGACCTTAAAGATCATCTCATTCCAACCCCCTGCCATGGACAGGGACACCTTCCACTAGACCAGGTTGCTCCAAGCTTCATCCAACCTGGCCTTGGACATTTTCAGGGATGGGGCAGCCACAGCTTCTCTGGACAACCTGTGCCAGGGCCCCACCACCCTCACAGGGAAAAATTTCTCCCCAATATCCCATCTAATCCTTCCCTCTGGCAGTGGGAATCCATTCCCTCTTGTCCTGTCCCTCCAGGCCCTTGTCCCCAGTCCCTTTCCAGCTCTCTTGGAGCCCCTTTAGGCACTGGAAGGGGCTCTAAGGTCTCCCCAGAGCCTTCTCTTCTCCAGGCTGAACAATCCCAGCTCTTCCATCCTGTCTCCATAGATGTGCTCTCTGATGGAGGGCTCTTTTGGGGTGCTTCCCTGCGCTGTGGTGTGTGGGGAGTTGCCAGTCACGTCCTCGGTCTCCATCCCCATCTCAGTCCTCCACTGGGGTCTTCCTGCCCCTCCATGACATCCATCTATCCCGCCCTCCCTTTGGCAGCTCAACACCTTCCAGACAGTCATAGCCTACAGCGACGAGGACACCTACACCATCTTCCTCTATCCCGACGGCGGCCTCCAGTTCCTGGGGACGCGGCCCAAGGAGTCCTACAACGTCCAACTGGAGCTGCCAGCCAGGGTGGGCTTCAGCTGGGGGGACGGCGACGACCCGAAGAGGGACGGGCTGTTCCACAGCCTGGCCAGCAGTGAGCAGGCTCTGAGGAACCTGGAGCGGTGCGTGGTGCCGGGGGGGCTCTGTGGGGTGGGCAGGAGGAGCAGAGTCACCTTCTCCCTGCCCTGGAGCCTTTTAAAGGCTGGAAGAAGGAGGGGAATGAACTGGGGGTGCTGCATTTGGGGTCCCGGAGGGGTGGTGTGGAGCAGGAGCACCTTTGGGATGGGTTTGCCAGCACGGCTCTGGTGGATGTTCATGTGTGCTGCTGTCTGCAGGGAGAGCAACACAGGGATACCTGGAGTGTGGGTCTTCCGTGTGGGCAGCGTGGACCACGTGGAGCCAGGAGGCAGCGAGGGACTTGGTCCTGGAGTGCCGCACAGTCTCCCTGTGCATCCTGATCCCGACTACACCCGCACACTGTACAGCCATGCTGACCACGCATCCACGGAGCTGCCAGCACAGCATCCCAGCCATGGATCCCGCACCCCAGTGCTCCTGGGCTTTGTCCCTGAGAGGAGGGATGCCCAGGAGCGGAGCCGCCGGCTGTACCCCGACGGGGACGGTGACACCCGGCAGAGCTACTCTGCCAACCCCTCTTCCTACAGCTCCGGGCACCACGGCGTCGGCGTGGAGGAGGACGTGCATTTCAACCCCGATGGTGAGCGGCCACAACCCTTCCAATGACCCAACGGGGACAATGACCCAGCAGGGACAGTGACCAAATGGGGACAATGACCGAACAGGGATGGCTCGTGGTGGGTGGCTCCCTAAAAAAGGCCCCTCACTGCAAGTTTGTCCCTTCCCAAGCAGCCAGGGCTGGAGCGAGCGTGGGCTGGAGTTGCTCCTGCAAAGCTGCTGCCCTTCCAGCTCCTCTCCCCCCAGCCAAATCCTGCTGCCAAGGGGCTGCTGGAGCCATACAACCCTGCCTGCTGGGTTTGCCAGTGGAAGCTCATGGGGTGGGATTCTCAGGGGGCAGGTCCTGGCACAGGGACAGGGTTGACCTTTCTGCCCTCCCTGCCACCGAGCCAGCTGTGGAGCCACTGTGGCACGTGCCTGGGGGAGCAAAGCCCTGTCCCCAGCCGGCTGTCTCCCAAAAATACCCAGGAATTTGATCTCCTGCCCTCTGTCAGATCTACCTGAAATCGGGCAACAGGTTCCAAACCCTCCACCACCTCTCTGCATCCCGGGTTACTTCCTTGGGAACTGCTGCCAGCTGGCCTGTTTCCCAGCAGTGTTTTGGGGGCCAAGAAGGCAAGGCACCCACCCTCTGGCGAGGGGTGGCTTTGTCACCATGTCCCAAACCCTTTTCCCCCTGCCCCCAGTGTTCACCTACAGTGCCTCCAGCAGGGAGACCTGTGCCCAGCACCACGGGCGCTGCTCCCCGCACGCCTTCTGCACCGACTACGCCACCGGCTTCTGCTGCCACTGCCGGGCCACCTTCTACGGGAACGGGCGGCAGTGCCTGCCCGAAGGTACGCGGGGCGGGCGGCGGGGACGGGCGGCCCCTGCCTGGGTGGCCACTGCCAGGGGTGCCCGTCTCCCTGCCCAGGGGCCGTGCATCGCCTCAACGGGAAGGTGAGCGGGAGCCTGACGGTGGGACGGGCGTCCGTGCGCTTCCAGGACGTGGACCTGCACGCCTACATCGTGGGCAGCGACGGCAGAGCCTACACGGCCATCAGCGGGGTGCCCCAGCCCGCTGCCCGCGCCCTCCTGCCCCTCCTGCCCGTCGGGGGGCTCTTTGCCTGGCTCTTCGCCCTGGAGGAACCCGGCTCTGAGAACGGCTTCAGCGTCACCGGTGAGCTGGGATCCGGGATGCGCCATCGCTCCGAGGGACGTGGCTCCTCGGGGGTGATGTGTGGCCTGGGGTGGGTGATAAGGGGCTCAGGGCAGCTCCAAGGCTCCTCCAGCCTCCCCAGGTTCTGCTGTGCAGGATGGGCAGGAGGAGCAGAGTGATCTTCTCCAGCCCCTGGAGCCTTTTAAAGCCTGGGGGAAGGAGGGGAGTGAGCTGGGGGTGCTGGGCTGCATTGGGAAGCTCAGCCCCCCATGCACTGGAGCTGCATTTGGGGTCCTGGAGTGGTGATGTGGAACAGGAATGGTATCTTTGGGGTGGGTTTCCCAGAACAGCTCTGATGGATGTTCATGTGTGCTGCTGTCTGCAGGGAGAGCAACACAGGGGTATCCAGCATGTGGGTCTACCATCTCATGGATGTGCTGGAAGGGTGGGGAGGGATGCCTTGGGGCTGTAGCCCCTAAAAATCCTAAAATCCTTAAAATGGTGCCTGTTTCCTTTTCCTGTCCAGGTGCTGAATTCACCCAGAGCCTGGAGGTGACCTTCTACCCTGGGGGGGAGACGGTTCAGGTCACTCAGACAGCCGAGGGCCTGGGGCCGGACAATTACTTGAGCCTCAAGACGCACATCCAGGGAGAGGTGCCATTTCTCCCTGAGAACGTCACTGTCCACGTCACTCCCTACAAGGAACTCTACTACTACTCCAGCTCAGGTAAGACCTGTGCCCACCTGGGCTCAGTTTCTCACACGCCATCCCTGCGTGCCCCAAAACCGCCCGAGACACAGCGACACTGCAGCCGTTTTTCCCACATCCCACGGGGTTTTCCTTGCTGTCCGGCAGCCGTGACGTCCTCGGGCCAGCGGGAATACGTCGTGGCCGCGGGAACAGCCAACCAGACCTTGTCCTACCGCCTGCGGCAGAACATCACCTTCTCCGGGTGCTCCCATTCCCGCCTGCCCGCGCGGCAGCAGCTCAGCGTGGCGCGTGCCTTCGCCCTCTACGACGGCCAGGAGCACGTCCTGCGCTACGCCCTGGCTGCCCGTGTTGGCTCAGCACAAGGTGAGCGCCAGCACCCACCCCCAGGATGCCAATCCGGGGTGCCACCCCCCAGCCAAGGGATGCCGGGTTCTCCTGCCCGCTCCCAAAGTGCGGCACGCTCGCTTTGCCCAAAAACAGCCAAAAGAGAGGGGGTCTCATTGCAGGTACAACTTCCTCGTGAGGGGCACAGGAGGGGCAGGCGCTGATCTCTGCTCTGTGGTACAAGTGACAGGACCTGAGGGAATGGTCTGCAGTTGTGTCAGAGGAGGGTTAGGTTGGACATTAGGAAAAGGTTCTTCCCCCTGAGGGTGATTGGGCACTGAACAGGCTCCCCAGAGCAGTGGGCACAGCCCCAAGGCTGCCAGAGCTCAAGAAGCATTTGGATGATCCTCTCAGGCACGTGGTGTGACTCTTGGGGATGGTCCTGTGCAGGGCTGAGGGTTGGACTTGATGATCCTTGTGGGTCCCTTCCAGCACAGCTTATTCTGTGATTCTGTGATTCTGTTTTCCAAGCAGCTTGAGCCTCAGCACTCCTGGCATGGTGGGGTTGCACCCAGGGTGGCAGTGGGTGGTGTGGCCGTAGTTCCCTGCATGGGTGCTGTGGTGATGCCTGCATCAGATACAAGTGGGAATGGTCACTCCCTGTGTCTCCCAGACCTCTTCTTCTCCCGTTACATCCCTCTGTGCCCACAGATGGTGCCGGGAATCCCGCGGTGAACCCGTGCCATGATGGCACACATGGGTGTGAGGCACCGGCGCACTGCCAGCCTGGAGCAGGGATGGAGTACACGTGTGAGTGCCCGGCCGGGTACCGCAGAGACGGACGGGGCTGCCGAGGTGAGCGGGGCTGGGGGTGGGCGCTGGAGGGGGGCTGGTGGACCCTGTCACCCATCGGGCACTGTGGTGGCCACTGACATTTAGGCTACTGGGATGTGCCACGGCGTTGCAGCACTTGTGATCTCCTGGGGCTTCACCAAGGATATGAGGGGAAACCGAGGCAGGGTGCTTGGATTCCCGGGGGAAGCGCTCCACGAGCATCGTGGGGATGGAGGATGTGGCAGATGTGGGATGGGCAGTGTGGGGCAGGACATTCCCCCCCAAGACCAGGAGCACCCAGACTCCAAAAACGGGTGCCTGCTGTCTCCCCCTTCCTCTAGACGTGGACGAGTGTGCCGAGGGCCTGAGCCGGTGCGGCCCCTTCACCGTGTGCCTGAACGTGCCGGGCAGTCACCGGTGCGAGTGCCGCGGCGGGTACCGGCCGGCGGGGGACGGGCAGGCGTGTGTGCGTAAGTTTGGGGTCAGTCTGGGGTCTCCCCCACTCTTGTGCCCCACAGACGTGCCCCTATCACTCCCTCACCTGTCCCCGCAGCGCTGGCCCCGGCGAGTGACCCCTGCGAGGACGGGAGGCACCCCTGTGCGCCGGGGGGCCGCGCGCGGTGCCTGTCCCGCGGCGACGGCCGCCCCAGCTGCGAGTGCCTCCCGGGATACACCGGCGACGGCATCCACTGCTCCGGTACGTGGGTGAGGGAGGGACCACGGGGCTCCCACACCGCGCAGCTGCTGGGACGCCCTGTCCTGGCTGATCCCCTCTTCCCTGTGCGCAGACGTGGATGAGTGTGCTGAAAACCCCTGTCACCCGGCCGCCACCTGCTACAACACGCCGGGCTCCTTCACCTGCCGGTGCCAGCCTGGCTATGAGGGTGACGGCTTCCGGTGCACGTATGGTAAGGGTGCCCACTCACCTCCACGCCCTCTCTGCCCGGGGCAGCTTCCCTGGCCTCACTCTCCTGTTTTCTGGCTTTCCAGCGGCGGGAGGGAACCCGCAGCGGCTGACGCCCTGCCAGCACGAGCAGATGTACCCACGGGAGGTGCCACCAGGACCCTC